AGAGCTTGGCGATGCTGACGGGAGCAGCGGCAGCACCAGGTGACACACCACGGCTCTCAGCTCAGCGCAGAGCAGTGAGCAGAGAGCTCGGAGCACGTTTGTCGTAATGAGGAGGAAGACAGATGTCCAGCTCTTGGGCAGGAGAAATGCAAAGAGAGGAAGTTCTTGCTCAGGGGACAGGAAAGAACAAATGGCAGCCCTTAATAATAGTGCTGACGGGCAACAGAGCCCCGACAAACAACGGGTATTTAAAGAGGATGACATAATAGAGACCAAAATTATTGCAGAACTGCTGAGCTGACCGTGTTGTTTCTGCCGTTTCCTTTGGGTCACTAACTGGATTAATCTTCAACAAGCCTGCGGCTGGGCTCGGCTCTGCGGAGCGCGCTGCCCGGCTCCCGGGAGCTGCCCTCCAGCTTGATGGACGCCAAGGGCCTGCAATCTTCTTTTTGCCCTTCTGTTTTGCCACAAGAATTTCAAGTCTCTTTTTCACCTCTTGTCTTTCCAGAGTATTTTAGGCGTAGCTGAGGATGTTAACTGCGAGCTTCCAATTTCTCTGGAAGAGGAAAGATGCTGAAACTGCACAAAAGATTTTTTTTTTTCCCCAGTAGTTTAAATAGATCTTAAACAGATGTTAACTACGAAAGACGTGGTTCACATCACTCTATTAACTACCTTCCTCACTCAATTGCCTTCCTTTCTGTTGCAACGATATTTTTCTGTGCTTCCCAATCACACCTGGCACGTTTAAAGGCAAATTGGAAAATCAGCTCTCTACAGCCAGGAAATAAAGGGCCCATAAGGAACTCCAGCCTTCAGACTTCTGCTCACAACCCAGGGACAAGTGACCCCAAGCCTGGGTGTACAGACTGAGCGCCGAAGGTGGTGGTCAGCAGTGTCGGCTTTCAGCCCAGTGGTCTGCTTCACTGGGGGACCTGGTCCACGTTCCTCGACACGTGCAGCTGGGAGTCTAAAGCAATCCCCCGGCATCTTTAGGAGTCTTCTCTGGACACAAACAAGCGGACAAAGCCTGTGGCTGCCTTTTCTCTCCCCAGGTTATACGTGACAGGACATCCGCTGTCAGTTACTCCTTTGCACCTTCCCTTAAGGCAACACCGATGAGACTCTGCGAGAACCACCCAAGCTTCTGACGCCATCTCCAGCAGCGATGGGCAGAGCCACCCTAAAGGGCCCACTTCATCGGCAGAGGCACAAAGGGAGCTGCGTGTTTCCACCTGCTGGAGCTGTGAGCGGTGACATTAGACCTTGAGGTCTGTCATTCATGCCCTACTCTAC